GAATCAACGGTCTCATCTACTTACCATTTGTTGGATTCTATGAAAAGTTTTCCCATGAAAACTAAAGGCTTGCTCAAACAAGACTTTGTCTTCCACAGTCCACTCATCTGGGAAGGGGGTAAAGTTGGGCAAATCAGCCAATGACTTTTCAATATTATGCTTATGCCAAAAGAGCATCCCAAGGGCCTAGAAAAATAGCATCGGTGAAATTTTAGACCAAAGACATGAATGCAACATTAAAATGGAAATACGGTTGGTGAAAGAAGAGTGTGCACATCTCTACACCAGACAAATTAACAGCTACTCGTGTGCGCTGCTAAGTGGCCGTCACAGACACACGACCTCCTGCACACTCACTCACTTATCCCAGAGCCCTGAGTAAGGTCCACCATTCTCGCTTCTCAACTTAGAACACGGAGGCCCTGGGCATTATTCAGCACCTTGCCACTGGAACAAGGCCAGGAAGCGGCGGCCGCTGCGCTCTCACAGGGTCACACGCTATCGCCCTGCAGGTAACAGGAGAGGCTGTTCTAAAAGCACCCACTGCTTTGTTATTCCTCTGCTCAAAAAAACGCAACTAGAGCCCTGGCCTGGTGGCTCAGTGGGTTGGAGCATCACCCTGGTCACCAAAAGGCTGTGGGTTCAATTCCTGGTCAGGGCACATACCCAGGCTGCAGGTTCAACCCCCAACTGGGGAGCGTACAGAAGGCAAGCAATCGATGTTTCTCTCTCTTCCCCCTTCCTCTCTCTCTATAATCAATAAAAACATCCCTGGGTGAGGGTTGGAAAAAACAACAAAAAGCCTGCAAATAAAAAGTTTTTTCCAGCTCAGAAAGGAAAAAATACAGGAATGCATGGGAAGCATATCTTGCTTTGAAAGATTCTGGAACTATCTTATTGTAACTGCCTAAATTTTAAACAGTTCCACTGGGATAGAACAATTAAAAATAAGACCAGGGCCGACAGGAAGAGAGCAGCGCTACGTAACGCCAGTCACTGGCGTCCTCAGTCACTTGGACAAGTGAAAAACGTTAGTGACCAACCGGTATAAGACCAGGGTCAGTGCCAGGAGAGCCCTAACCCAACTCCATGGCCTTGTTTCTAAAACAGAAATTAGAAATAAGGTTAAAATAAGGCATCACCACACTGTTGGAGAAAAGTAAATTCCATGGATTTCTCATTAACACGCTCCAAACAATTTTTAAAAGAAAGCCTTAGCCAAATCTTACAATTTGAAAGTGATTAAAAAACAATTAGTATCAAAACACGACAGGTTTGAGTGTGACAGCGAGCCAGGAAAAACCACAGAACTGACAGGTCACAGCCACATACGAAGGAGCTACCTACGCCCAGGACCCCCCGGGCCTCCACTGCCCGAACCCCGCAGGCCCACAGAGACACGGCGCCCCCCGCGAGGTCCTCTCGCACCCACCTGAGGTGCGGAAAGGGGTCAGAGCCTCGTGGGCGCTGCCAGCAACCACCCGACTGCTGAGGGGAGACACTGCACTCCACACACACAACCGACGCGGCGGTCCGCTCAGCGCGCCCCTTCCTACCGCGAGACAGCCATGCCGTTACCTGTTCCATGTTGTACCCGTGCTTCTCCTTGGCGATGGCGATGTACTCGTCCACTGAAAAACAAGACGGGCCGGTGAGCAAGGCCAGGGCAGGCGGTCTGAGCACCAGCGCGGCGGGCAACGCGCTNCACACCCAAACACTAACAGCACTTATCTCTGGACGGCAGAACTATGGTTCTTTTTTTAAAATAACTTGGTTCTACTTGTTTTCTACAACAAGTATTTCTTTGGTATGCTGAAAAGTAATTACTCAGAAATAAAAAGATACATTAAATTGGGGTTCGCTCAGGCTGAGCCTCGGCTGAAGAACAGGCAACCTTCTGTTCTATCTGAAAACCTAAGGGGCAAGTGGCACGAACCAGTGTCTGGTCTCTGCTTTCAGACGCTACGGAAACTGCGAGGGACACTGAGCCCCAAGGATGAACCTGCTTCCACCCATATTCTCTAGTCTTCTCTCCAAACAACAGACTCATCTGTAGCACTTCCTTTTATTCACGTATGACTTTTCCACACAAATCACAAACATAACACAAGCTCACAACGAAACAAAACAGGAGCACAGAACTGTATGGAACAGCGAGGTCCCCACAGCCCCGATCCCTCCGTCCCCGAGGCTCCCCCCGAGGGGACCGGCTCCAGGAGCTTCGCCCGCCAGCCAGGCGGCCAACGGCAGGAGCCCCGTGAGGCCGGCGCTCCGAGGCCTCAGCCGCTGCTCCATCAGGCCGCAGCCACAGCCCCGCTGCGGTGGAACCTACAACCCGTTCAGGAAAAAGAAATCAGTTTTGAAAAATAACTCATCAGCACGTATTCTAACACTAGAGGAAACGTTTCCACCGACAGAAACAGCAGCGCCACCCAGAGCGGCGAGTGGCCGCCGCACCAGAAGGACCACGTCCCCCGTCCAGCGTCCGAGTGCCGGGCGGCCGGGGGGCCGAGTCGGCGAACCACACCCTGTGCGACCTCGACACTACGTGCGTTTATTTATTTTTAATTCTCACCAAGGACACGTTCATTGATTTTTTTTTTTTAGAGAGAGGAAGGGGGGTGGAGAGAGAGAAACATCAACTGCCTGCTTCTCGGAGGTGCCCCAACCAGGAACTTGACCCGCAACCTGGGTGTGTGCCATGACGGAATCGAACCTGTGACCTTTCGGACAACATTCCAACCAACTGGGCCGCGCCGGCCAGGGCAAAACACTACATGATTTTTAAAATGTGGGGGGGAAGCCCTGGCCATTTTTGCTCAGTGGTTAGAGTGCTGGACTGTGGACCAAAGGGTTGTGGGTTCAATTCCCAGTCAAGGGCATGTACCTCGGTTGCAGGTTTGATCCCCGGCCCTGGTCAGGGCACATGCAGGAGGCAACCAGTCAATGCGTCTTTCACATCAATTTTTTCTCTCTCCCCCTCCCTCCCTC